AACAATCTTTTGAGATCCCAATGTCTTCTGGGCATACTAGGTACAACACATGATTAAATGCTGCTGTATCTCAGAGAAGGATATTGTTTTGCACCGTTTGCAGAGATCTCTGATGGCGGCTAGTCCACTTTCAGCGATCCCGTGGGATACGGACCAATGTACATCAAAACTTCTCGCTGCTTGCGTGTTCTGTCCTTTGTCGCAATTTCCTTGCGTTTGTAGCAACCCTGTCCGAGAACTGACTTGTCAATTGACACGTTTTGTATTACTTGCAGCGGTACATTAACTTGATCTTTCAGTCCTTTCTGAATGATTTGAAGTAAAAGCTAATCTGTTGGTCCGTTCCTTGCTATTGGGATGACAATCGTACCGAGTTTACTAAGGAACTCGATGTCTAGCCAATTTCATCAAAAGCGCTGTTCCCTGTTTGAATATAAAAAGTTGAACCAGTAGGCGTCGTTGTGTCGTTTGTTAGTGCACGCAGGGTCTCATGTCGAACAAAAACAAGGCCATATAGCTTTATATTTTGATGTGACATTGTCTTTGCCATTGGAAGACATGTTTATCAAATAAGAAAAGCTGGGAATTACTGAAATTCTCGAGTCCTGATGGCTTATCTTAAATTCCAATGACGATGGCGGTTTGTTGGGGCTCAGCAGACGAAAACAGTACAGCCACATGCTTGACGGTTTAGGTTAGATGCAGTCAAAGGTAAAACATGACCAATCTTACACACGCAAAAGCCTCTTGTCCATAGGGTCCTGGAGGACAGCTATTACGTACACCTGACAACGAGACAAAACCACTGCTTTCTCCAACATCTTCACCACAACAATTTCTCCCACTTGGAGCTTCCTCCGACACTCGACAGCCTGCTAGTTCCAAACCACTCTGGGACTCTAGAGACTTGTAATGATGATTTTTTCTTGATTTCCGATATCATTTCGACTTGCTTCCGACAAACTTCGTCTCCATGGCGTTATTGCTTCCTGAGTTAACGGGAGGCCTCCCTGTATGCGCTGTGAGTAGACTGTCCTTTTCGTTCCATACCATCCACTGTTTTCGTTACTGACGCACCATCTCTGCTCAAGGCACCATGCTCAACCCAGGCGCTCGATTTTGCAACATGTGCCGCAACGAATCTGACCTCGGGGTGTTTATGTAAGGACAGTAGCTTTATCGAGACGTATCGACTATGTGTGCGGGCTTCTTGTGACATGGGAAATGTTCTAAGTAAGACATACTTAATTTTTCCTTTTCTGGTTATGAAATTGATTTACTATGCCTTCTGTATATCTTCTGGCATTTGAGACTCACACGAAGCTTTATTAGTTGCTAAGAATGTTACTTGGACATGGTGCGATTTCCACTACCAGAACCAGACAGGGTCCAAGTTGGAAAAGGTGGCGCTAGTCATTACTACGGCTTTGATGTTTTTTCTGCGGCAGCTCGCCAAAGTATTAAGACTATCAGCTTGGGGAGCGGATGACTACATGCTGATACTCGGTTATGTGAGTGAAGAATGAGTAGTAAGATTACACGTAGGCACGTCACTGACTTGTCCTATAAGATCTTCTCGCTATCATTTGCGGTATCCATGTTTTATGGTAATTTTCTCCTTACAACACAATTTCAGAGACTATACTAACCTATGAAACTTAGGATATCGCTTAGGTATTGGAAGAGACGTTTGGTCGTTATCTCATGACGAGGTCGATTTGTTTATGAAAGTAGGACCCTTTGCTTTCTTTCCGTACATATATATCATCAACGACACCTAACCACGCAGCCAAGCTAACAACATCAGGTCTTCTTTGTCTTTGAAGTACTCTACACCATAAGCATCGGCGCTCTTAAATCATCCATACTCTTTTTCTACCTCCGTGTCTTTAAACTAATAAACCCGACTTTCACGACAGTGCTCTGGTGCACACAAGCCTCAAACCTCGTTAACTGTGTCGCATTCACAGCGGCTAAATTGACTCAGTGCAAGCCTTTTAGTTACTCATGGGAAGGCTGGGATGGACGACATCCAGGGCGCTGTGTCAATTTGCACGCCTTGCTAGTATCGCATGCGGCTTTGAATGTCGCCATGAATGTATGGATGCTTGCGCTGCCAATGACACAGATCTTATGGTTGAACATGAGAAAGAGACAAAAGATAGAAGTTTTGTCCATGTTTGGACTTGGAGTTTTGTGAGTACTGCCTATCATGTTGCGAGAAAGAGACCGTTTTATCACTATATGGGCGGGACTCCTGACGAATGGCTACTGTCGTGATAATGAATCTGACACCCCTTGACACAGTATCACTATCGTTAGCGCGATCCGCCTCAGCGTTTTATTCAAATTCCGCAATTTTTCGAATCCTACTCGTAAGTAGTCTTTCACACTGTTCCTATCTAAGGAACATGAACCACCATGAAATATGCCTAGTGATAGGTTTCGCTGAAAGTTCTTAAGACGACGTGTTTTACCTACATATGTGGTCTTACATCGAACTCTCTGTCGCCGTCATTGTCTCCTGTCTGCCGTCCACCCGTCAAGTATGGCGTGAGCTAGTCCCAAGATTCATGAGAAAAGTTGGAATTGGGGCTTCAGTACACGCAACTCAGGAAGCAGAGTCGGCTAGAAGGCTGAATGACATCATGGTCTTCACCGGCGACCAGTTGAATCCAAAGGGCTTACACAGATTCATTTCGTTGCCGTTAACAAGTCAGCCTAACACAAGCGTTGTGGATCAGACGCCTTGAGACATGTACCTATAACGTAATATAGACGTGAACAGTTGGACATCAAAAGCAATCAGAGAAGAATCGGAACGAGATATTCGCGAAAACAAACTTAACCGCTATTTTTGTCCCCATGTAAGCACGAGTTCATGTATTTCCATACTCCTGACAATACCTCAATAATCAGCGAATTGTCTGACAAGTATTGAACTTAACCAGTATGAGGTCGTATGATGGGAATGACGACATGTAGTGACTAAACAAAGCCGTCGGAAAGTTCTAAGGACTAAAGAAAGATTGGGTAAGATAGCTAGTAGCTTTCCTAGTGAATATTCTCACAATATCCAAGGTGCTTGTGCCTCATAAGGGTACAGGACAGATTCCCGATACGACATTATAAGCATAGCCGGCCTGGTCCGGCGGATCTTGCGGCGAACAGCCGCGAAAGTCTTGTAACCACTACCTTTCAGTCCTATGAAGTTCATTGCCAAAACAGGACATATTCAAGAGACCAATCTACGCTAGCTTTATCTCACACCATTTTATAAGTAAGTGTTGATCTCACAGGCGGTGAGATACTCGTACGAGTTGATAGCAACGATCACGTCAGAGTGGTGATATTGCTGGTTCTATTGTATGGGTATGAAGAAGGGAGATCTAACTGCGCGGCCAGCAGCAAGGTGAAGTGGGATACGCCGCTCGTTGTGGCTGAGGGGCTGACCTCACCTTGCCGGGCGTGGCTGACCGGGCTGTGCTCCCCATCTATCTCTACGTGTAGTCAAAATTGTCTTTCCGACCTGATGACTGAAAAAATGCTCCGTCGCGGTGTCCAGCCAAGTCTTCATTACGATCTAGCAACACTGTACACGTCTTTCAAGGCTTTTCATTAGTTCATGAGCAACATGACACTCGACTATTACCGCGCCCAGACCAACGCCATGGTAGTTCCTAAGGGCAACATCGACGGTTTAACCATTTACGATACAGCCTAAACCCTTGTCGTTTCGGCAACAACATCCTGTATTGGAATGAACAGACAGGCGAAGAACGATACCGCAAAGCTGGCGCCAACCTTAAAGCGACACTTGACAACCACACTTGCACGCCGACGGGTGGGTTCTGGCATCGCGAGGTCGTCTACCCAATCCAGATTTGGCTCGCCGGCATTTACATGGCGGACACATTTGAGCCAAAAACGTATCGCTATTTCAGCCCCAGTAATAGACAGCATAGGACGATATCGTGCTGAAATTTGACATCATTGATTCCCGGACCCGACGCGAAGTCAGCATGTTGGTAAATGCATACGATAAAAGCAAAAAGGCTACTTGGGCTGATCCACAGACAGGCGCTGTGCCGCTGGTATAGGGCCGTGCTGTGGGCTGTTACTTCATGGCTCTACTCGAGGTAATCGATTTGCTCTCAAAAGGGCTATCAGGACATGAATCGTGAGGAATTGTTGGATTACTTCGCAATGCTGGCCAAGGGCCTTGAAGACGCCCAAGACGAAACAGGTGGCTGGTGGAATGTCATGGAGAAGCAATACAAAGATATCTAGAGCAACTACATCAAGAGCAGCACAAGCATCGAGCTCACCTTTGGTTGGTTGAAGGGGCTGAACATGGGGTTGCTGGTTGAGAGGGTTTACACAGAAGTGGCCAAGAGAGTAGGGAACGGTATGATATACATGTTTGTCACACACAACGACGATGGCTCGATAAACTGGGAAAGCACTGTTGAAGTGGGCAGTCTGCGCAGCAATGCTACTTTTGAAGTAAAATCTCGTGCTACCGCATCCTGTTGACATGAAGATAATTACCAACACGCCATACAGTACTACTCCAACATTGGCATTCGTCAGAATGCCTCAGAGATACTGGTGTTTTTTCTATCGCCGCTCTAGAGTGGGTAAAGGGATTCGTCTAGCTGGTAGCCAAACCAGCCAGAGACCAGGGTTGCACGAACTCAACTCCGTTGCAACTTGGGTAAAAAGTCGAATAATCCAAATGGTCGTTCTATTCCGGAAGCTCACTTGAACATTGTAGGGCGACAGACAAGAACTGTAAGCGGCCTAACGGGGCAAAGAAGCATTCGGTATGAAACATAGAGCTCCAACTGCTATTTGGAGCCCAAAAAAAAGAGTTGATATGTGTAGATTGACAGCCCGATTGGAAGTCTTGCAAGGCTTGTCATGATTGTGAAAAATGGAAGGCTTTTTCAAGTATGATCCTACACAGCTGATACACAGTATACATGCCTGGCATCGGTCTAGTTCATCCAGCCATTAGGGCCACCCCAAGTACCCTTCACCATGGAGTTGTAGTATACCCACGGGAAGAAGTCCCTTTTCAAATGATAGAACGCACGACGGGGAACTGCCTGATCGAACCCGATCAAATCTCCAAAAGTTTCCTTGGGAACTCCACCATACTTGAATTCTGCAAGCAAGACCTTGCCATACTCGGTTGTGAGCGGGCATGAGGTGTAGCCATCGTATTTTGGTTCAGGTTCCTTTCCATCCAGCGACCGCAACAGATTGTTGACCAAGATTGGAGCCTGCGATGTGATTGCTGCGGCAGTCTTTGAGGTGGGTAAACTGGACGCATCACCTGATGACCAGACGTTGTGGTACATGGTGTGGCGCGTTGTGGCTTGATCGACATCAACAAAACCAGCTGCGTCAGCGAGTGGGCTGTTCTTGACAAATGCATGAGGCCCCATCTTAGGAACAACGTGCAAAAGATCAAACTGCTTTGTCACTTTGTCCTTCCCGTCGGGACGTGAGAAGGTCGCAGTGTTGCCCTCAACAGCGACGAGATCGTGCTGGAAAAGTCCCTCGACGCCCCTCTCCTTCCTCAACTCCTCAAGCTTAGCGCTATACTTGGGTACGCCGAACATGGCCGGGATTCCAGTAGCAAAACTGATCTTGATCGGTGAGGCAGCAGTGTTGCCGGGGTTGTACAGACCCAAACGCTTCCAGTAATCCAGTGCAAGCCACATAACCTTTTGAGGTGCGCCAGCACACTTGATTGCGCCGGCTGGCTGGGTGAAGATGGCATTTCCCTTCTGGAGCTTCTCGAAAGTACCAAATACTTTGTCGCATGTGTCGTAGCCGTAGATGGAAGAAACGAGCGAGTTCGGATCCCCCAATGCTTCGGGCAATCCCTTGATGCTACCGTAGTCAATATTGATGCCTGGGGCGACGACAAGCTGTTCGTATGCGAGCTCATCGCCACTTCCCAACTTGATGCTGTTCTCTTTCGGGGAAAAGGTGCTAACGGCTTGTTGATAAAACTTAAGCTTCGGGTCGATCAAGCTATCCATCGGTCTTCGCAATTCTTGCTTAGACTTGAGTCCGCCGCCTACCAGGGTCCATCCGGGCTGGTAGTGGTGCCATTTCGCAGGGTCGACGATGGCGATGTCGTCCTGGGCAAAGTGACCAGTCCGGAGCAGCTGATGGCTAATGGCCAGGCCAGCACTGCCGCCACCAACGACGACGACCTTGTGGTTCCGAGCTACGGAGGTCACGGGAGCCACCGTCGCAAGAGTCCGGAGCTTGGAAGAGGTCTGCGCAACAATGCCGGCACGCTTTGCATGGCGAGTTGCCAATGTTACGCGGGTGGGGATCATCTTGGTGCCAAAAAAGATGTTGGTGACAAATGCGATGCGATAGCTTAAGGTTTCTCGTGATGCGGCTGAGTCTCGTGTGGCCGCTAAAAAGAGACGGGCGTTGCGAGCTGGAGAAATGAAAACACCGAAGTCTGGCTGAAGCATGTGGAGCCGGTCCCACAACCAGCCCAATAGGCGAGTAAGAATTCAAGAGGCCACTAGCCGCTCCGACGACCCCACCGACAGCCGTCCTTGGGAAAACTTAATCATCTGGAGGACGTGGCGTGATGTCTGATTATGATAACATTGACAGACTGAGTGGTCAGCTACTCAGTGGGCTTGGTCGCCGATGATGGTCGCCGAATTCTCGAGTCCAGAACCGGAACGAGGAACGGCTGCGGGGATCTCAATCCATGTCTACACTAGATTTCGTTATGACATTAAACTTTTCTTTTTCTTTTTCTTTTTCTTTTTCTTTCTTTTTTTAATTTACAACTTTCGCCTTGGTGTTGCGGAGACACCGGTACATCCCTGGGTCGTCACACGGTCCTCTTCTAAATATTTCATGTCGAAGTGGGCTTTCTACCCCCGAATTTGCTCCATCACCTTCCTACTCATGAACACAATGACCGCATCAAGACCAATTGCAAGAAATTGTCAAATGGCTAGTCGGCATGTCACAACGACATTGTCAATATCTTCAATGCGCCGCGTACGTCGTGGAACCTGGTTCCACGTCGATACGTTAGAGACTGAATCAGCGTATCGCAGCTCGACACGTATTGTTGGCAATGCACGGTTCTTCCACACTGAGAAGCAAACGCTTGTTCGCCGAGGTAGCCACTCGGCCAATAGATCTCAACATTGGGCTCAGGTGAGAAAGTGCGCCTCTAATAGCAGCATAGCAGTTGCCGGGTTGTTGCAGCCAATAATTCACGATATTTTCGAGCCTAGTACAGGCACATGGCAATATGTCGTTGCCGATCCAAGCACAAAAGTTGCAGTCATCATTGATCCAGTTCTGGACTACGATCGAACAACTCAAGTTATAGCAACATCCTCTGCCGACGACTTGCTTTCATTCATCAAAACCAAAGGCTACACTATTTCTAGGATTCTAGAAACCCATGCTCATGCTGACCACCTGACGGCCGCGTCGTACTTACAAAATCGTCTTGCTCAAACGCACGGCCAGATGCCCCCGATTAGCATCGGAAAGCGCATCACTCAAGTACAAAATCTTTTTAGTCAAAAATACAGTGTGCCTAGCGAAGAATGTCAAGGTGTCTTTGACAAGCTGTTCGAAGACGACGAGACGTTTTCCATCGGCAATCTACGCGCTACTGCCTGGCACCTTCCTGGGCACACTCCTGACCACTTGGGCTACAAGATTGGAGGTAAAGCCTTGGCGATAACCCACTCTCCTGTTTAACATCCACTGACATCGGTACTAGATAACGTGTTCTGTGGCGACTCTCTTTTCCACGTCGACATTGGTACCGCACGGTGCGACTTTCCCGGCGGGAGCGCCAGCAACCTTTTCCACTCATGCCGCAGGCTTCTGAGCCTACCAGACCACTTCAAGATATGGACAGGTCATGACTATCCTCCGGAAGGTCGTGTTGACTCTGTCTCTTGGATGACGGTTAGCGATCACAAAAAGCACAATAAGCACACGAAGGATGGAATTACCGAGGATGAGTTCGTGGCGCGGAGAGGAGAACGTGATGCCAAACTCGGAGAGCCCAAGCTACTTCACCAATCCTTACAAACGAACATTCGAGCCGGAAAACTTCCTAAGCCAACAGCGTCAGGGCATCGCATGCTTTGTATACCAGTGAGGTTAGGCGGCTTGCATTGGTGAAACGCCATGGGCTAGATCACTGACAGAGTCAAATTCCTCCAACGCAATTGAATGACTTTTTAGTGGAAATGATGGATCTTCTGTAAGTTTGCACTAAACAAGGCTTTATGTTGGAAGAGTTCGACCATGGAAAAGAAAAAGTGATGGGCGTATAGAAGTTTCATGACGGATCATTCAAATAATCAGTCCCCACATTTGATTCACAGATGGCAGCACCAGCTGCTCCAACACAAGTAATACATCTTAACAGAAGAGACACCAACAATGTCTGAAATTTTGAATGACGCGGCTTTGAGACAATGAGATGCGTCGCGTTTCTTAGGCGTCAAGACCATAGTGATGGGCCTCAATAAATCTACTCTACGTGCAGTCCCACTCAGAGACTTAGAAACGAGCTGAGACACGCTCATAACACACGGCTCGTGTAGCACACGTGGATCGCTACTGAAACAGACATCATGGCGAGTGGAGAACCGCTACGGTCCAACTCCTAGGATCGGGCTCGGTCGGTCTGTCTTGAAAACACGTCAGATCAGTTCTTAATACCTGGGTATTGACTTTCAGTACTTGGTTGCTGGAGCCCCTCTTCGGCCGTGCAACTCAACAGATGATGGGCATTCGACCATTACGAATTGACCTCTGCCAAGGCAATTGAGGCAAACCTTGTGCCAAGGGACTTCGAATGGGTCAAAGAATGGCCAGTGAGAGAATCGCTAGGTTCATCCAACATTGACAGCTCATGACGGATGGTGGACTTTTCCATTGAGATGAGAGAAAGCAGAATCCTTAATCGAATAATTTGCTAAAGCATTCAATCCGAGATCCCGAAACTATCTTGATCCAAGCGCTGCTGATTTTCTGGCCCCCCGTTTGGGCCGCTTCGGCCGCTGCGTTTGTTTCACATGCCGGCCCAGACATCAGATGGAGACCGATCATACACAAAAAGACTCAGTCAACATCCATGCGCCGGTAAGATTGCCGTGAGGTGTAACTTCAGCAACATCGGGATGTGCCAGCAGTTCTGGAATTCGAATGAAGCGACACGTCATGCAGACTGCATACGTCCAGACAATGTAACAGGCAGCATATGTAACATGTGCAAACAAAACCCCTCTCGCCTGCTTTCTCAGACGATGGCCAAACCACTCTGTCAATCGAAAGGCACATCGTACAAACTTCAATGCTATCGACGTGGACTGGGCAGCTTTGCCTTGTTTTGCACTCATTGATGCCGACTAGTTGGCCATGATAGGTAGTGGTCACTGACGGGTTCGCATCTTCTTGTTCCCACCCCGGCGTATCATCGATCACTACGCGTTCGTGGCGTGTATGGAACGAAGTTCTCATGAGTCGGAATCATGAAGACGCGACGACTGCAGTGCCGCCGCCAACGTGCTCGCCGCAAACTGCTCCACGAAAAGCTGCTCGACTCTATCCCACCTTATCGCTTTTTTCGGTAATCCTTCTCTTTCTCTCAGCTGGAGCAGGTATCGCCTTGTCTGCCATCGTTTTATTCCGCAACCTCGAGTCGACTGAGGTTCTGGATCCTCTCAGTAGAGCCGTTTTCTTCGTGGCCTCCTGCATGAGTATTGTTTATGTCTTCGCGCATATTATTGCCGCAAGAACTGCATATTCCACGAATTGCGGTTCTCCAACAGCGTACGGGAAATATGTTGCTGGATTTGCTTTTTTGTTGGCACGGCTGGGCCTTCCAGTTTGGGTTGCTGCATTCACTTTCGCAATATTTGTTGCGGTGAATATTGGACTAGACGTGTCAAAAGGAGTACAAGAGAATCTTCCGTGGCTCAACGTCATCATAAGTATTGCTTCCCTGTAAGCCACCAATCAAACCCTCTGCAAACGCCTTCAGCCTGAGCTGACATTTTTGAAGTGTCTCTTTGGGTGGAGTACTCGCCGTTATCGAAATGGCGGACCGTCCGTTTGCGACATTGGGATTCTCCCAAGCTTGGTTCGTCCGAGGAGAGGATACACTGCCTGGTGCTGAGGACGACGACCTAGAGTCAAGCATCGTTGAAACAGCCATCTCCTTCCAAGAAAAACGGGAAACCCGTTCTGAACGCAGTCAATATTCAGAAGGACAAGCAAAGAGGAAGCGCAAGACTTTAACCAAGAGGAATCCCAATGAGGCGCAGCATAGAGTCTTGTGGGTATTCTATTCTCAAAGTTGGTGACATGGGGTCATACTGATGCATTTTCTTAGTCGTCATGCAAGGAGCTTGTCAATGCCAACTCCATTAAACACTGTCTTCAGCAACCAATCTGGTGTCTACACACCAGATTCTTCCACCACAAACAGCGCTTTTGCATGGAAGCCACCGACAAGAGACGGCGCAACCTCAAAGGCAATTGGAGCAGAAACAATCAGCGACTGGGTTACTTGGAAGGATTATAACAATATACGACACGCAGCATCCGACATATCGACAAATGCGTCAGCACGCCCAGGCGAAGTCATCCTTCCAGCTATGCCCCTGCACCGGGAGTATTCGTCACGAAGTCAAACTTTGTTTGAGCAGCAAGGACGACATGATTCGCGGAGATGGACAGCAATCGGCATGCAATCGCCCCCTGTCAATGGTGGATTTCCGGTCAAGCCTTTCCAGAGGCCTCGAACGCCCTTAATGACAATGGAGGAGGAGCACAGAATTATGTCCCGGAGACCCTCGACTAGAGACGGCAGTTGGGAAGCAGATTACCATCTTGGGATGATACAAGCTAGTCGACCAGCAAGCCCACGCACGAGAGCAACATCGACATCTTCCATGTCTGGTCCTGCGACTAGGAGAGACGCTCGTCCTTCCCATCCACATATAGCAACCCTGGCAAACTCAGCCGAAGGGCGTGCGAGTAGCATACGCCCTGACAGCGGCGTGTTGCCGAATGAGGGCCGCCGTCGACAACGAGTCTCAAGCGATGAATTGGGTGAAGGCCGGCGTCTCACATACGGAACAGAGAGTCGGGTGTCTTCGCATAATACCTCACGGCCAAATACACGACCTCCAAGCCAACACCCTTCAGTAGCCATACATGAATCAGTACAGCAACCCGTCAGTCCAACGTCGACTGTGCAGTCTGTCAGGTCCAACGTACATAACTTTTCAAGGCCTCGGACTTCAGCAGCAGCAAGAATGCAAAC